TTTCAAATCCTACCTGTAGCTGACGGCTAAACAGCAGGCCATGGGAGTTGGGCGCATAGTAGTCAGACGCTTCGATCTGATTGAATACGCAGCACAGGCCTTTCTTAACCGAGAACACATTCAGAAGCCTGGGTAAACCCTGATCGCCGTATATACCATGCCCGAACAGTCGTAAATGCCAGTTTCCACCGGGTGCAGGGCCATGACCAGCCAAACCGAGCAAAGTGTATCCTCCAGGAGTTGGGTGCAGATTAATCCAACTTGATGGGTATCGCACGGACGGTTCAAGTTTTTCACCTACATATATAACCCATGGAAAAAATAAATGGGCTTATTGTAATTCCAGAAAGATAAAACGTATAGTTTCCCAGTTGGATCGCAATAACAAGTAATCCTAAAACCTGGAGTTTTTTGAGGACAGGAACGTGGTAATGTAATGAACAACGAACGGAAAACAATGATGAATGATTTTCCATGAACTGCATTCAGATCGTGAGTGATTACAATAGAGCAGGCAAGGGAAGGCACGCGTTTTGAGATATTCATCCTAACAGCCCCCGTGCATGCATTCACTGAAAGAAGACAATAAATCTATGCGGTGAATACACCAATCAATCTTTTAGTCGATCAAAAGCAACGGAAACAGCAACTCAGTTTTCTCAAATGTTTGAAGTTATCTTCGAGGAGATGGAGGTAGACCACAGTACATTATCTCTGTCGGCACATAACAAATTAAAACAAAACTTCTCATTGGTATGATTCGTAAGTTCACTGTTGTTTTCTCATTCTAAAGGTTCTGGTTTTCTCTTCCGGTCTGTGAACGACAATCACTTTAGCTCGTTTTAGATTCCTTTTTCCCATGTCTTTCGATACACACGTATACGCATTCATTTCAAAATATGTTCAAAGGAGTAAGTACAATCGCATATACCACTGGTATCATGCCACCTGGATACCCTCGGGTTAGGCAGAACTGAATACTACCATGCGCGTCCCGGGTTGTGAATGGGGAAATACCTTTATCAAAGAATGTCATCTGTGAAAACGTTGTGGCATACCGCAACAAATAAGCAGTCGCGAACAAACAGCGGCGGCACTACCAGGGTGTAGTGGGTTCCAGGCTGGTCACCTGGCCCGTGTTTAAAAGCCGCATAAGCCCAATGATGGTGTCGTGACAAAGGTCTGTGACTGGCCTTTGAAAACTAAAGCCGCTGACCTCCTCACTCCCGAGGCGAGGGATTACCTCCTGCTGCCTTGCAATTCGCACTTGGTTGTGCGAAGGCTAGAGGTGTGACATCTCTCGTACCAAACTCCCAAGGAACTTCGTGATCATGATCATATCTGGAGGCGGCTTTCCAAGGAACCAGCCGCAGTAAAGTAAAGTAAGTAAAGTATCATGAGTATGTATTTTAAAACACGTTTAGTTGTACAACTAACAGAAGCTGTCGAAAGAATTTATATGAGACCGATCAAGAAACGTTGAATATTTTTTTCATCCACGTTTAATTTCACCGGCACACGTGGGTACCACTCTCTCTAGCCGTGCCTGGAATGAGCCGCAAACAGTTTCGGGTTGGGAGCTGGAACACAGGAACGTTTGAAACAAGAACAACCGTAGAAACCATTACTGCATGGTCTCAACAATTGAATGACTGGATTACCGTTTGGTCCATGGATTTCACTGAAAAGTAAACTGTGCCCATTTAGCAGAAGATGACCCAATTTAAATGCTGTGGAAATGTTTGTGATAATCGACAAGGAGCACTGGACTGCTGTTTCGTCCTGTTTGTGACTCGTCAGCAGTGCATAACTTTTGTGTCCCTGTCAGGACTCGAACAGCAAACGTTTGGGTTGGAACTTAAAACTCCTACCCCTGAGCTACACAATCGACGGTTACCACCTTGTGCGAATGGCCGAATCAATTTAGATGGTGAATGTTTGGATTAGCCCATTCGGTTTTTCACAGGCACCAAGCACTGTTGATGATGTTTGCTTTGCGTTTCACTCCTTGGGAGATAGCTAATTCCCCACGAAACAGCTGTCCAGTGCTCTTTATCGGTTATCACCAACATTTCCACCGCATTCAAATGCACTCAAATAGTGGGGAATTAGCGATTTCCCAAATAAGGAAACCCAAACCGAACGTCATCAACAGTGCCTGGTGCCTGTGAAAAACCGAATGGGCTAATCCAAACATTCACCATCTATGAAGATAACCTCACTTCCGAAAGTGGTTTTACAATACGAAGCAAACACAAATCTCGATGTGCGGGAATTTAAATAGATTAAACAATCATGGGATTCGTGTATTTACTATCTTGTCAGAAGATAACCCATAAAACAAGGATAGCCTCGTGGAAAATTATGCAGGTTAAGAATGAAGGCATACGCTTAAATCGTGAAGACCTTAATTTTAATTTGTTGTTTACCATTTTGACTGTAAATGATACTGACACGAAGATACTTATGTATAACAGTAATTGAAAAAGTAAATGTTGGATTGAAAAATAATGTTTGGTGAAGGTTACCAGCGAGCGACCTTTTCGCTGAACTTTTGTTACGGTTATCCAGCTGGTTCTACTTGTTCACTAATGAGAGCGAAATGTAAAGAACCCGCATTGATCAACTTGTTGATTGTTTTTAATTGAAAACTCTATCGTTTTACACTCGCTCGTGTGAGAAGGGGAAAAAAGCGCTCACGGACAACAGATATAGTTCAATAGACCGAAAATATAAACAATCGATTATTTTAGCCATATTGGAGCGTCTTTGGATCCTTACCTGCATAAGCCAATCAATCGTTTATTGATCATATGTCATCAAGTCTCTGGAAGAAATGCATCGGCTCATTAGGTCAACGGTTAAATGGTTACTTTTAAGTGCATGCACACACACACGGAAATCTAAGAGACGCAGAAATATATAGAATCTCTTCTTTTCATGAAGCAAACCTTGATATCGTACAGTCCAGAAATTCATGATAGGGTGACGTTCGTTGATTTGTGGTTGATGAACAAACATACAGTAGGAAACTACCAGACACTACGGGAAACATTTCTTCTCGATCTGCGCATAAAAGAAATGTATTTACGTGAGGGGTGAGGATCATTTTCAGATCTTTGTGTACATTTTACTTGATAATTGAATTTAATTAGTATTATAGACAAGGTGACTTTATATTCAATTATAAAAATCGGTGATCGGAGTGCTAAGAAATACAGTAAACCATATAATTAGGATGGGCCTGGAAACGAGCCGATTTATTCTGTCAGTTACCATATGACCAAATATTTATATATAAGTAGTATCTGCATTCACAAACCTACTGGCAAGTTGGAAATATTTCCTGTGCAAACAGCCTGAGAGTCAGTCATGCTGATGTTGTTTTTCTGTTGCAGTGTATGCTATGTATGTCTGTTCAACATTTTGCTCTCATATAACTATGCCATATAAACTTCGAAAGAATCCACCGTAACTTCCAGTGAATCCAAACAATTACCTTCTATGGGAATCCCACAAGGTGACTACTGCTTCAACAATCATAGGTCACCGATTGGATCGGGTCTACCATAACCCATCCAGTCAAGGTGAACTAATCTCTCCATAGACAAATAAAAGCTCTTTATGATTACATTAACGAACGAGATTGAAATTTTCGATGAGATTGGGTTTGACTGTTCGTTCCCCCACAATAATCGAGAATGTAATGTCTTTGATCATTGAGTGAGTGAGCTGTAGACGAGAATTAACAAACCCGGTGGCAATTGTCCTCCGTTGGACAAGTAAAAAAATGATTTGTTTCAAAATGGACTGATAAATCGGTCATTATGCTCACACATGAATGTTGGAGTGAGGGATTGCAAGAGTGGGTTCAGCCGGACTGAAGAGGGTCTTGATCGCAAAGCAAAATGGATACGGGGTAAAAAAGGATTATAAAAACGATCCCTCTGATCTGCAATAGTTGGTTTGTAATTTCAAGGAAAAGTCTTGAGCTCTTGAAAACGGATTACAATTAGGAGCACTAAAAAATCAGACCGCGCGCGGGGCACCTACCGTTCAGTTTAGGTGTGGTAGTACACATCTGAGGTTTTGTCAGGATCAAAGCAATAGCTCGCAACTCTCCGCTCCGAGCTATCCAGAGTTAGATATGTTGTGGAGAAGAAACATGATTTAAAAGTGAAGATGATGAAAAATTTCAGTAAAATGCGTGATGAACAGTAAATGAAAATAGAGTTGAGATTAAGATAAATAAAGATGAAATATTTTAAGATAGAAGAGCGTAATATAAAGAGGGAGCAGGAAGACGGACGAGCTATTAGCTACCTTAGACCCGGTATCCGATACA